TGCAAGGCTGGTGCTGGTGGGGATGGGAAGCRCTGGGGCACAGCACTGGGGTGGGGGCTTGGCACAGGGTCCAGCCCTCCCCGCCAGGCTGTGGGTCTAGGCTCAGCCTGGCTCCTGAGGCTCTGGAGGAGCCCTGACACACCCCAATAATTTGCGCCAGGTCCCAGCTGGGGCTTTGTTCCCACTTCAGTGTCTGTGATGGCAAAGCCCTGGGCTTCCCTGTTTCCTGCAGCACCTCCAGCTTGGGCTCACTGTGCCCTGCACCAGCCCCGGGCACCCCCGTTCCCTGCGGCACCCTCAGCTTCTGCTGGCCCTGGCAGCTCTGTGCCTCTTCCCGTTTCTGTTGGGGGCTGTTTCCTGCACCCTCCCCTTGCAGTGCCAGTGGCACCAGAGCGAGGGTTGAGCCCTGCAGGGCCCTGGGCAGCACCTGAGCAAGGGCTGAGCTGCTGTTGGTCCCAGCTGGATCAGGGTCCTCGTGGGGAGGGCAAGGTGGAGGGAGGGGTCGCGTGCAATGCCCGAGCGCAAGGGACTCTCCTCCAGTCTGGGAGCCAAGCCAGGGCTGCCTGCACCAGAGCTGTCCTGTCCCCGGGGCCAGAAATAACGACAGGGACAACCGCAGCCCGCCGGGGGCAGGAAGCGGTTGGCCACCAGTGCGCTCCTGTCCCCACCGCCTTCCTCCCTGGCCACCAGCTCCGCTGTGCCCACACTGACCTGTCCCTGGGCCACCAGCCCTGGGCAGGGGCTCAGCTGGCACTTGCCTCCCTGCACTGCTTGTGCCAGGAGCAGGACCATCGGCACACAGGGTGTGGGTGGCAGGCAGGGGGGTCCCATGGGGGACCCCTGCGTGCTGGAGGAGGGGGCTGGAGGCTCATGTTGTGCCTGGCCCTGTGTGGGCTGTGCCACAGCTCTCCTGGGGTGCGGGGCTGGGGTGCTCGGGGGTCTCAGGCTGTTTGTGGGGCTGGTGTTCTGCCCCATCTGTTGGGGCTAAGCAGTGCCTGTTGGGGTGCTCTGCCCCCCGTGGGGGGCTGGCTGGGGGGTGCAGGTGCACAGGGCCTGAGGGGCTGTGCTGGTGCCAGGGAGGGACCCCAACTCCCAGCCCCCGGCCCCTCTCCCTGCAGCCGTGTGGAACTTCCCGGGCACCAAGGAGCATCACCTCCCGCTGCAGATTGGGGAGACAGTGCACATCCTGCAGGCCTGCGAGGGTAAGAGGGACCCCCGGAGGTACCCCAGCGTGGGGGTTTCTGCACCCCCCCTTGGCCCCCTGGTGGGAGCCAGGACTCCCAGCCCGGCCGACAGGGTCCCCCTCCCTCCCCTCGCAGGTTGGTACCGCGGGTACTCGCTCCGCAACAGGGCTGCCCAGGTAGGTGAGCGGGGTCGGGGGGAGCATGGCTGTGGCTCGCCCTGTCCGTACCAGGGGTCTGGGGGAATAGGGGGACGTGACCGGCGTCTCGCCCTGTCTGTGCTGGGGGGTTGAGAGACCGCAGTGGGCACAGCTGGCTGGAGCCCCCAGCCATGCCTTCCCAGAGGGATGTCTCCCAGCCCGAGGGTGCCAACAGCTCTGACTTCCCAGGGCATCTTCCCGGCATCACTGATCCGGCTGAAGGGCGCCGTGGTGGAGCACCGGGGGTAGGTATGGGGCACGGGCAGGGGTGGTGGGCTCCATCCCCTGCCTGGCATGGGGTCCCCACAATGCCAGGGGGCTCCAGGGGTCCCTGTGCCTTCCTTAGGGTGGAGGAGAGCGTGGTGCCCGCCGAGATGCCGATGGTGCAGGAGATCACCACCACGCTGCGGGAGTGGGCCACCATCTGGAAGCAGCTCTATGTGGTGCGGGCTGGGGGCCTGGGGACCGGGCGGGCCGTGGGGCAGTGGGGTGTGTGGTGACCCTGCGGTCCTGCCGCAGGCCGGGCAGATGGAGCGGTATGGGCAGGTGAAGCGGATGATGCAGGAGCTGATGGAGCAGCGCTCACAGCTGCTCTCAGGGACACTGCCCAAGGACCAGCTTCTGCGGCTCAGGAAGGAGGTGACCGGCAGGATAGACTATGGCAACAAGTGAGCATGGCACAGGGCACAGGGACCCCGAGTCTGCCCTGGGCACAGGCTGCACGGTGCCCGGGTGCTCCCTCGGTGTCCCTGACAGCCTGGCTGGCTGTTCCTCTGTCCCCACCATCCTGGCTGTGTGTCCCTGCAGCACCCTGTGTCCCTGCTGTCCTGCTGACTGGCTGTCCCTGTGTCCCCATAATCCCAGCTGGCTGTCCCTGTGTCCCCATCATCCTTGCTGGCTGTCCCATGGTGGCTGGGGACAGTGAGTGTGCCTGCAGGTGCACAAGCCACCTGGCCAAGGGCTATGGCTGATGAGCCGTGGCTGGGGCAGGAGTGTCCCTGGTGCTGCCTGGCTCCTGTCCCCTTGCTCATTTGGGTCTGTCCTGCCCCCTCAGACCCCGTGTGAGGGCAGGTGGGTCCTGGTGGGACACATGGACCCGTGTCCCCCCAGGGTCCTGCCTCACCCCATCCTGGCCTCGGCAGGATCCTTGCGCTGGACCTGGTGGTGCGGGACGAGGATGAGAACATCCTGGACCCCGACAGGACCAGCGTCATCAGCCTCTTCCAGGCTCACAGGAGAGCGGCGCAGACCCTCACCCAGCGCATCCAGGAGGAGACGGTGAGGCCGGCACTGGCCCCACACCTGCCGTACCCAGACCATGATGTCCCCCGTGCCAGGGGCTGTGCCAGGTGCTCAGCCATGGGTCCAAGCCATGGGGCTGAGCTGCCTCGTGCTCCCCAGAGCCCGCAGCCAAGAGCACCAGGCCACAGCACCCATGGGGCAGCTTCGCCCTCCCACAACCTCTACCTGTGCGTCCGCAACTTCGTCTGCCACATTGGGGAGGAGGCGCAGCTCTTCATGGCACTGTATGACCCCAGCGAGCAGCGCATCATCAGGTGGGGTCCCGGGGTGCAGGACAGACCCCTGCCCCCTCTGTGTCAGGTGCCAGTCCCACTGCTCCCTGCGATGTCCCCCGCTTTGTGCCACGTTGCCTGCTGGTGCCCACTGGAGCAGCCTGGCTCTATGTGAGGCAGTGGTGAGGTGACTGGTGGGCAGCAGCTCCCCACTGCTGGGGACAGCCAGGCTGGGCCAGTCCCTGTGCCGTGACTGGGGACACTGGTGGGATGAGGGGTGTGTGTGGTGGGAGCTGGCAGGGGCTCTGCTGTCCCGGTGCCCACCTCACTGCCAGCTCCTCCCCCTCGCCTGCCCCGCAGCGAGAACTACGTGATCCGCTGGGCCAGCACTGGGGTCCCCCAGGACATTGAGCTGCTCAACAACCTCAAGGTCGTGTTCACGGTGAGTGCAGACCCCCGGGGGCTGCACTGCTGCTCCCCACCTCCCCCTCCTGCAGAGCTGCCTCCACCCGCAGCGTTTCAGGGCCCCCAGCAGCAGGCACGGTCCTCCCGTGTCCTGTGAGTGGCTGAGCCCCCACCACTCCCCCTGCTCGAACAGCCCCAGCCCCTGCACAGACCCCAGGCCTGGCACCAGGACTCAGGTCCCCTCAGGGTCCCCTCCCGGTGCGGGTGCTGGGGTTCTCGGGGTGCCCCATCCCCGTCCCTCGCCGTGCGGCACCCGCTGACTCAGCGCTTCGGCTGCAGCGCTGCGCTGACCCCCGGGAGGAGCGGAGCCATCGATATGCAAAGGAGCCGGGAAAATCGGTGCTAATGAGCAGCATCAGCATTTCGGCTCTGCTCCCATCCCCCGGCGCTCGCCCACCTCCAACTCCTGCTCTGCTCGCTGCTGGTGTCCCCGTTTGTCCCCGCGCTCTGTGGCGCGTCCCAGTCCCTTTCCTCAGCACCACCAGAAAGTTCTGCCACGGGGCAGCACCCTCAGGACCCGACACTGCCCGGGTGCCCAGAGCTGGGGTGCAAGACCACCCCACCATCCCCACACCATGCCAGGTTGCCCCCCTCTCACTAGGCTGCCTGGCCCAGGGTGCCCTGTGGGGCCATCATTCTCCCCCAACCTTGGCATCAGGGCTTTGGGGCTCCTGGGGTGCACAGAAGCCCCCGGGACAGTGGGGCCAAGTGCCTGCCAGCCAAGCCACTCCATGGGGCAGAGTGCGGGGGGACATCCCGGGGCACTGGGAGCAGGGACCTGCAGTGGTTCTGTGCCCACTGGTTCACCCCGCGCAGCCCTGGGCACCCCACCATCAGCTGGCGCTGGTACTGGCACGTCCCCAGCGGTGCTGCCAGGGTCACACAGCCCCTGTCCCCAGGACCTGGGCAGCACGGACCTGAAGCGGGAGCGGCTGTTCCTGGTGTGCCAGATCACCCGGGTGGGACGGATGGACCTGCGGGACACCCACAGCCGCAAGCTCAGCACGGGCCTGCGCCGGCCCTTCGGCATCTCAGGTAGGGGAGATGGTCCCTGGAGACCCCCAGGGCCACCTGTGACACCACCTCGGCCACCCCCCTTGGCCACCAGGCTCTGCGATGCACCCGCTGTCCCTGCACACAGACCCCAGCCCCGGGCTGCTCCCCCTGTCCCTGCACACAGACCCCAACCCACTGTGTGCCCGGAGCAGCCCTGCAGAGCCTCCCTGCCTCCACCTCCCCCTATGATCCTGCTCTGGGCATCGATCCCTGTGGATCATTGCTG